AAATCTAATTCAATAAACTCTGTATCAGCCCTCAACATGTAGTTTTTAATTATTTGGGGGATATTTCAACTCCAGAGCAACAGTATAATGTTTTCTATGTTGGTGCTGTCTGCGGTTCATTATGATTCGCATGTGTTTTCATTACATCTGTTGCCACATTCTAAAGGCCTTGGTATTCAAAAAAACCACAGATGCTTTTCAGTATGGTATATTTCACAAATATGGAGCATCTCCTATGTATAAGGCACTGGGGATATGGTAATTAAGCTGCCCATGTCTTCAGGGAGTTTGGAGTCCTAGTGTAGGAGACATACATAGGAGCAGGTCTTTGTACAGTGCAGTGATTGTAGCAATAAAAGAATGGGAGCCAAAGGAGGAGCCCAGAGAGGTGAGGAGTGGCTTCCTGGAGGAGATGTCCAAGCCTGAATGCCGGATAGGCTTTGCTTTGTTGGAGAGAACACAGGAGTATGAAATGTTTGTGTGGACAGGGAGCTACAAGGAGCTCATTGTGCCTGGAGCTTGAAATTCAAGGCTGGGAAGAGAAATTGGAGAAGTGACAAAGCTTGGGTTCTCTAGTGTCTTATAAGACATCCTGTGGAGGTCAGACTTGACTTGCAGATGGAGACAGCTATTAAAAGGTTTGAATATGGCGGTGATGCAAGCAGACCTTCCTAGTCTGTCCGTCTGGCTGTGGTCTGAAGATGGATTTGAGGGGACGTGCCTAGGCGTCAGTTAGGTTGAAGTGGTAATTCAAGAGAGAGCTTAAGCATGAAGTAGTGCACTGTTGGTAGATGTGGTAAAGGCTGGATTCAGACTGGAGGGGGTAAGTGGCAGAATTTGATCACTGGTTGACTGGAGGGGGTGTAGAGAGAAGGGAGAAGAAAGGAGGAATCTAGGGTGAGTCCCAAGTTTCTGGCTCAGTCAACTAGGGAAACAGCCATAGAGATAGGAGCAATTAGGGATCACTTCGGGGGGTTGGGGGAGTACAAGTTCATGTTCAGTTTTGGACCCATCAGTTTTGAGGTGCCCGAATATCATGCAAGTCCATCCCACCTGCAAATGGAGAAGATGTGGGACAGGAGAGGAGTGAAAACTTACTCCTGTTCACAAAGTGGAAGTTACCAAATGATTTTGGAGAGCTACAAGGCATTTGGTAATGTTTTCACTGACCCATCGCACCTCTTGTCCCTACCTGTTACACTGTGGGCAAGAATGTTTGTGACCTTTCACCTCCACCACCTGTCCCCAGCCCTGTCCCCCCAGTTTCTGATGTCCTATTCTATGGCTACCCTGTCACAGGTTGGAGCTGAGGTGAGTAATATTTGGACTGTAATACTGGTTGCCCTCCATTCTGTGTGACAGAATTAGGCCTCTAGAGTAGGAAATTACTGTGGGAAAATGCACCAATTGATTAGCCCACTCCTTCAACTTGCCTGAGAGTATAATTTCACACCCCTTCCCACCCCTTCCTGCACGCAGCCCTCTCTGTTTGCCTGGTGAGAGCAGCTCTCTACCTGTGCTTTGCCCACTGGCCAGACTGGCCACGTTAGCGGCAAAGCCAAACTGATGAGGGTGGGGAGGTAGCTCTGGGGCCGGTTAAACCATTCTAGCTCCTGCCAGCTTTAAGTTTTGTTTAATTCCTAGCATAGTCATCCTGGAAATGCCCTTTTCTTTTGCTTGGGACCCATGAGAAGGGGAAAGTCCAATTTCTACCTGCTTAACATCTCCAGAGTCTTCAGCCATTCCACGGGTCGCTGAGACTGGGAGTCTGCATTACCCAGAGACTCTGTTCCCCAGTGCTTATTCTTCAGAGGGCAAAAGAGCTGCTGCTCATGGCTGACATTTAATAAATGAGCTCTCCCACTGTGCCAGTGTTTTCCACCCTTGTCTGCACATTGGAAGCACCCAGGGAACTTTGAGAACTACAGATTCCTGGGTCCCAGAGCTGATGAAGTGGGCTAGGGCGCTTCCAGGGTACAGCCACAGTTGAGAACCACTGCTATATTCTGTAGACTTTTTTAAAAATTAATTTTATTTGGAAATAATTTCAAACCTACAGAAAAGTTACAAGAATAAGAATTGTACATATAAGACCCAAATATCCTTTACCCAGATATACCCGTTAACATTTTGCCCCATTTGATTTGTCATATGTATTCTCAAATGTGTATTCTTACTCTCTTTCTACATACACATCAAGGCCTTTTACCCCTAATACTTCCATGGGTATTTACTAAGAATATAAATATTCTTACAACTGCAGTACAATTACCAAATTCAGTACATTTAACACTGATAAAATACTTTAATCCACCAATCATATTCCAGCAGACCTCATAATGTCCTGTATAGCAGGTTTCTTCTTCTAGATCCAGTCTAAGATCAGGCATTATATTTAGTTGTCATGTCTCTTTGGTCTTCTCTAATCTGGAATGTTACCATAGTTTTCTCTCTTATGACATTGACATTTTGGAAGAATACAGTTCCTTCTTTTAAATGGTACTGCTCATTTTGGGTTTATCAAATGTTTCTTCTTGGTTAGATTTGGTTTTGCATTCCAGGTGGCTGGAACACTACCTGTGTCCCATGCCCTCTTGGGCATCATATCGGGAGGCACACAATGTCTCTGCCCTGTGTGGCGGTATTAGTTTTGATCACAAGGTCCAGTGAGGAGAAAATGTGAACAGAACATTTTTAATATAAATGTTAACTGTGTAAAAGGTGGTTGACTACTAAAAGGGGTAAGAAAAGAGCTCTAAAAGAGCTCTAGGGGCGAGAGAACAGAGAGGACGAGGAACTTGGAAACTCAGAGGAGGTTCCCCCAAGGCTGAGAGACCTCTGAGGGGCAGCTGTGGCTGCCACAGGGACACACTGACTGCCCTGTGCCGAAGAGCCAGCTCACTGGAGGTGCCCCCACCAAGCCCTGGGAGCAGAGAGCCGCCGCTGGGGAAAATGCTGCGGGCACCACACCAGACCCAAGGAAACAAAGACCTTCCTCCGCTGGCCTTGCCCTCCCCTTCAGAGCCCCTGTCGGCCAGCTGGCAAAAGAGAAATGTTGTTTACAGAGTCTCTGCTTCAGTGTGACATGAAGGGCAAGGACAGGTGAGTTGGGAGCTAAGAGGCAATAAATTAATACCTGGCACACCTGCTTAAGGTGTTGTCTACTTTTTTCATGGCACAGTAACTATTTTTTCCCTCCAATAAGCAGTCTCTAGGAAGGTACTATAGGACCATGTAAATATCTTCCTCACCAAACTTCTCCCCAGATTTAGCAAATACTACACATTCTGGCCTGATTCGGTCCTTATGATGACAATTGCCAAAGGAAGTCTTGCCAGTTCAGCACTCCTTCCTCATTTACCAGTCAACTCCCCCCATTTATTTTTTAATTTTTATTTACTTTATTTTTATATTAGCAAATCCTTCATTTATTTTTATATATCCACTTACATCCACTGTGGACTGATGGGTTCCCACTCTTTTCAACAGTCTATAATTCATCATTGTCCTTTGGGGGTGGGGGAGAGCTCCTTACATAGTTACAGATTTGGCCCCTTTCGCTTGTGTCCCGTGTCCTGACATTTCTTTGAAGCACTTCCACGATTTCTGTCATAAGACATTCCAGGCTCATCTGGCACCCTCTGTGTCCAAGCTGTGGAGTTAGTCCCTTGCACTAAGTGTGCTCATTCCTACTGGGGTATCTTGCTTCTCACTCTATCTGTTGACAGAGCTTGTCATACTGCCTTTTTAAAAAACAATTTTTTTAGCACAAGTAAGTGGTGCTTTAAAAAATGTAAACAGAACAGACATCTGTAAAGAACAAAGTACACACAAGGAAGCAAGTTTAGCAGTGGTGTGAGTCTTCCCAGACTCTCCTCTTTATGTGTACAGAAGCAGACTTGGTGGAAGATTCGGTTTTGCTTTTTGCTATTGTGAATTTTAATCTACAAGGTCCTGTTTTTCTTTTCATGACATAGAATGGTACTCTTCATATCAGACTGTAGGATTTGTCATTGCTTTTTGTAAGCTTTGTGGATATATCTACACCACGATTAACCAGTGCAGAGTGGTTGGACTTTCAGGCGGCCTCTAACCCAGCTCTTGTTAACACCTCTACACACATCCTGGCAGTTATTTAAGAATTGTTTTTAATTAAAACAATTTTATTGAGGTGAAATTCACATGGCATAACATTTTCCATTTTTTTTTTTTTTTTTGTTTTGTTTTTTTTTTTTTGAGACAGAGTCTCGCTTTGTTGTCCAGGCTAGAGTGAGTGCCATGGCGTCAGCCTAGCTCACAGCAACCTCAAACTCCTGGGCTCGAGCGATCCTTCTGCCTCAGCCTCCCGAGTAGCTGGGACTACAGGCATGCGCCACCATGCCCGGCTAATTTTTTTCTATATATATCAGTTGGCCAATTAATTTCTTTCTATTTATAGTAGAGACGGGGTCTCGCTCTTGCTCACTTGAGCAATCCGCCCGCCTCGGCCTCCCAAGAGCTAGGATTACAGGCGTGAGCCACCGCGCCCGGCCACATTTTCCATTTTGAAGTAGTGCATTCGCAGTGTTGTGCAACCACCATTTCTATTGAATTTCCAAAGCATTTTCATCATGCGTTTTTTTCTAATGTCATGCATTTTTGTGTGGACTCAAGAATGGATTCTGGGGAGTGGATTTGCTCTGGATCAAAAGTCACATTTAAAATTTTTTATGGGTACATCCAATTGCTCTCCAAAAAGCTTATATCAATTTATATACTCAGTAGCAGTGTACGAAAATGTGCATTTCCCTACATCCTTGTTTACACTTTGGGTGCAATCAGCCTTATCTTTTCTTCTAATCCGAAAGATGAAAATATGCATTCATTCACTCATTCATTTATTTTTGAGACAGGGTCTCACTGTGTCACCCAGGCTGGAGTGCAGTGGCCTGATCATAGCTAACTGCTGGGCTCAAGTAATCCTCCTGCTTCAGTCTCCTGAGTAGCTGGGACTACAGATGTTGTACCACCACACCTGGCTAATCTTTTATTAATTTTTTTGTAGAGACAAGGTCTTGCTGTTGCCCAGGCTGCTCACGAATATATTTGACTATTAGCTAAGCCCAGGATGTGTTTTTGAGGTGTTTCAGCCATTTGTAGCTTCTGAATTTTCAGTTTCTATCCTCTGCCCAGTTTGACTGGTTTTGGGTTTTTTTCTTTCAGATCTTAACAGAGTTTACTTAGGAAATTGTTTTGTGAAACTTAATTCCTGTAGCTAATTGAATGGAATAATTTTCCTGATACATTTCCTAATTGGTTATTGTTAGTGTATAGCAGCATGTATTTTTTGGATGTGTTGGTTTCATATCCAGCATCCTTGCAGTTCTTGAAAATAACGTGTGTGTTCTACGTGGCTTTTTATACGGTGTCTCTGAGATCTCCTGAGGGTGCTGTTCAGTGACCTTGCAGAAACCCCCTAAGTTTATCTACGAATGCCTGTCTGGACAGTGCTGGGCGTGTTGCTAGCTGTTGGGAAGTTGACTCATACACAGATCCTGCTCTCCTGAGTTTATCCAATGAAGAGTAAGACAGGGAGATTATAGAGTAGAAAGACAGTTATCTTTGCATCTTCTAGCATCTGGAAAATAGTGGACACTAATGATCTGAAATAAGTCACTATAGTGCCATAAGAATATGGTTTTCAAACTTTTTAAAATTTTAGCTGGAGAACCCATTAGCCAGGTCATTCTCAAGTCTGGCCACATATTAGAATCACCAGGAAGAGGTTTGAAATATTTATGCAAAAGCTCAGCTTGCAGAGATTCAGTTTCTGTTTGTCTAAGGTAGGACAAACAGCATTTTTAAAAGCTTATTCCATTGAGTAGCCAGGGTTGAGAACCACTGCTAGTCCAGTATGTAAATTCTATGAGTAGAGCTTGAATGGAGCGGGCCGTGTCCCTATGGTGCTGATAATCCCATGAGGGTGCTGAGGACATGGAGCCTACTTGCCGGTGCTGACCTTGCTCTGGGCTGGTGCTGCTGGTTCCCGTGCCGGGTGGGGAGAGAGGCAGACATCAGGTGCAGCCGGACTGAGCCAAACAGGTAACTCTTACGTTGAGCCCACTTGGCCTAGGAATGGCTGTGGGGCCATGGTCAGAATTAGGTGTTGGCACTGCTGGTGTGTGTGTGTCCAGTTTAGCCAGATGGTGAATTGCTGCTCCTCCTTACCATCAGAAGGACTCAGGTGAGGGCCGTGACAACCACAGCTGTCCCAGAAGCATGAGGATCGAGGGTGATCCTCATGCTAAGCTCAAAGCTGCTGTTGATTATGGCCAAGATTAGGAGGTTGTGGCCTTTTTGTTAAAAGTGGTATCCCTTGCTTTTAATTAGCACTTAACTGTTATCTAATTTGAACCTTATGGGGATAGAAACTTGTATGGGCATATTGCACCTATCTTACTGATGGTGAAACTTAGAACTAGAGAAATTGAGACTTGCCTAAGACCACCCAGGGAAGGGTGAGCCTGGATTTGGACCCTGATGTTCTGATTCAGAAACTGTGCTTTCCCTCCTGCCCTGTGCTGTCTTTGTCCCTTGTCAGGAAGAGGCTGCAGTTATTTGTACACCCAGTCACATACTCCCTCTCCATCTGGCACCATCTCTCTGCTGGGAAGGCCGTCCTTCTGTGCAGTGGATTCCCAGCAGCTGAGGTTGTGACCTGGTGCACGGGAGAATGGAGAAAGCTGCAGAGGCAATGAATCTGACTTAGATTCATTTGTGGGCCCCCCCTCCCCACTCCCTGGTATAATTGTGACCCAAGAGTTGCTTTCAGTGGCGTTCTCTGGCTGCCTGAATGACTGGAGAACAGGCTTTGTTATCTAACACTCACTACCCATCACCTTCCAGTACCCACAGACACTGCGGCACCTGTCAAAGATGATGATAAATATCTAGGCCAAAGGTTTGAAAAAAATCTTTGCAGCAGAATGGAATGCTCAATCAAGATGACAGGGCATTTTCGCAGAATAAGTAAAGCCCTGGTACCTAACTTTACAGTGTTTTCTTTCCTCTTCCCTGCCCACATGACCTAACCCTAGTGCCGGCCCCTTGCCTGCCCTGAGTCTGCTGGGCTCTTGCTTTGTCCCTGCTGCTGCTCCTCTGTCTCTTGCTCCACCTGGGGAAGGCCTGCCATCTTCCAGGCCCAGCGCTGAAATCACTTCTCTTGTCTCCCCTTTTCACTCTTCCCACACTTGTCTCACATCCCGTAAGTTGCCAAATCCCATTCTACTTCCTACATTCTTCCAGAATTGCTCTCCATCCAGTCGCCACTTCCCAGACATGCCACCATGCTGTCCTGTGCCGGACAGCCTGCACTTGGCCTCCCGCCCCACCCGCACCCTGCTCATCGTCTGCCTCGTATCGGGATGAGAAAGCGCCTGTCGACTCCTGGGGTGCCGTGCTTGAGAGGGAGTGTCACAGGCAGCAGTGGCTTCCCCAGGCCCCAGCTGGGTGGCAAAGGCCATGAGGCCCATTTGCACCCACAAGCCTCTAAGCCTGTCTTCCCAGACCCTCTGCCACGGCCCCTCCAGCTCCACTAGACCCATCACTGGTTTCCTGTTCCAAACAGCTTGCTTGTTCCCAGGATATTCCCTGGGAGTCTCCACCACCGTACCCCTACCCCACCCTCCCTTGCCCCTGCATCCTTTTCCTGTTTGCCCAGGTATGACTGTGTCTCCCTGGTGGTCTGGGAGCTCCCAGTGACCGGGGCCAGCCTCTTCTGTGTCCCCAGCAGACCATGGGTTGGCCCAGGGCCCTCAGTGACTACAACTGAAGCCTGGTCTGAGGTGGCATCTCTGCTTTCCAGGCTCCTACCCTCACTCCTTTGCCTCTTCTGAATTGAGCACTTGGATGCTAAGGCAGGAGAAAGAGAAAGGGATCCAGCAGACCAAGGAGAAAAGAACGCACCCTTTATTCCTAATGGGAGAGACTCCTCGAGGCGCAGCCAGCACCCATCCCCTCCTAGGGTTGGGGAGGCTCGGTTCTGGGCCCCAGAAAGGCCAGGCGGGTGGGGACACTACCGACTCCACAGGCAGGGCCAGTGGGGGTGGCTGCTGCTCCTTCCTCAGAGCTTCTCCAGGTAGGAGCCAGGGACAAAGCCACGCTGCCCATTCCGTTCCACTGTCCACCAGCCATCCTCCCCTTCCAGGATGACCTCCAGGACGTCCCCAGCAGAGATGTCCAGCTCGTCAGGATTCTGGGCAAGAGACAAAAAGCACATGAGGCTGGAGGGGCCTGCTGGGAGGGCCCTGGTCTGGCATCTGCCACCAGTAGCAAAATCGAGCTTGTCTCCCAGGGTGGGCAGAGTCAGCTGAGTCACACTCATACCTCCTGGGAGAGGTACAGGATATGGGTGCGCCCAGGGCCTTGCCTTCTGCCCCTCAGTTTGTCATCACAGGCCTCCCCCACCTGGGGTCCTTCCCCTGCCCCCTTCTCCTCTGCGCCAGACACAGTGACAGGCACAGCAGGGTCAGGGTTGCTCACCACACCCTAAGCCCAGGTCTCGCTCTTCATGGCTCACCACCCGGCCTCCCTCGCTGCTGGTCCCAGCCCCAGCCAGCCGCTGTCACTAGGGCACCCCAAGCACCCTGTTACTCGCCTGGCCTGGCTGCCCTGCTGAGGCATGAGGAGTCTGCATCCCCGAGCCAGGCCTAGTCAGCACAGCCCCTGCCCAGCAGGGCACTGGACTCCACCTAAGCCCTGGTGGAGCTGGGGGTCCAGCCGTGCACCCCCCCTCAAAGCAGGGAGCATACTGGACTCTAGCGGTCTCGGTACCTACTCTGTGGCTGCCCCTGCCCATCCTCTCCCAGTGCACACCAGAAAATCAGTCCTGGCACGATCAGAGGACTCACTCGTGGCTGTGGTTGGTCTCTGTACCCGCACACCCAGGGAGAAGAATGAAGCCTGACCCTCAAACCATTGCCGCTGGCAGCCCAGGCACTGTCACCTGTGCCCACGGCACAAGGCCCAGCCTGCGGCAGCGCAGCCACGTGCGTTCCACACATGCGCTGCATGCCGACGCAGCCCGTGTCCCATCACCAGCCCTCATTCAGCAGGCGCGGCTGCCTCAGCACCCCGCTGCTCCAGCACGTTCCGGCTCTAAGGCACACGCATCCCTGCAGAGCAGGAGAGGCTGCGGCCTCACCTGCGCGGTGTAGTCGTAGAGCGCGCGGTAGTCCTGGGCTGGCGCAGCCGGGTTTCCCTGTGTCTCCTGCACGGCCACGGCTGCGTAGACGCCCTCGTTCCTCTCGAGGCTGGGGGTCAGGGTCTCTGTGGAGGCTGAGAGCAAGGTGAGGCCTGGACCCTGCCCCTTTCTAAGGACATTGGCCCCTGGAGGTCCCGGGGGTGGAGTTTCTCCATGCTTGGCCCTGCCTCCTCCCTCCCTCTCGGCCTGCTTGCTGTTGGAGGGCACACCCTTCCCCTTGAGGGGCCTCTGTGGCCCCATTTGTGCCACACAGGAGTCCCCTCCTTCCCCCTGGGGTCACCCGCAGGTACCAGCAGGAGCTGCCATCGAGGTCTTGGGACTTCCATGCAACAGCCCGGAGAACCTGGGGGCAAGGAAGGAGGGTGAGTCCCTCACGTGATCCTCAGGCCCTGCTGCAAGAGAGGGCTTGGGCAGGGAGAACTCTCAGAGCACCGGGGCTGGGGCCACCCCTGGCCTCCAGGCCAGGATGTGATTTATGGGTGCCCCTCAGGCAGGAGGGCTCCCAGAGGGTGTTCCCAGTGGCTTTTCCTTCCGCAGCTGGGCTCTCCCACTCACTCGCTCCACCCATCGCAGCACCTGCCCCCTGCGGGTTCCGCAACCTCCAGGTTCTGCGACCTCCAAGCCGCACGCTCCTGTGAGGTGCCCAGCCCCTCCCGGCGCCACCTCCACTCCAGTGTGTCCTACAGCTGCCCGCCCCCCGATGAGTGAGCTCTGCCACGCTCAGCCCACGCGTGCCCCACCGGGACCTTCACCAGCCTGGCCGGCCAGCCTCCCCCCACAGCCCTCAGTGACAGCCAGCCCCACCGCCCGCATGAGTTAGCCCCAGGAGGCAGCGCTGGGCTAGGCTGCCCGTGCCTGACTCTGGGCCGCACTGAGCTGGGTCTTGAAGGTTTGCTGAATAAAAGAAGAAAACAAAACAAGCGGCGGACACTGGGGCACCCCACGAGGCAGATGGCATGCAGGCTAAGTAGAGGCAGGCTTAAGTGACTGCCTGTGCTGGCATTCGGGTCCTCACCGGGGTACAGGGAGGGCTGAGTCCTGCAAGTTTTCTGTAGCATTGTTAGGGTGTGGATGTGCCCCTTCCTGGGGCTGCTGCTTTCTTAAGGTTCTCAGAGGGGCGTGTGTGCACCCCTCTCTGAGTGTGGGCGGTTCCCTGAGCCTCAGCCTTCTGAGAGCTGGAGGCTCCAGGGGCTTTTGAGGCCTTGGAATGGGCTGGTCCGTGCAGCTTGGCCGGCACCCTCCCCACTGCCCCCTCCCTCCCAAAGGCAGGGCCTTCTTTGTTGAAGGTTGGCTGGAGACAGCAGTGGTGGGGTTGGGGAGGGGCACAGGCACCACATGAACCCGCACATGCTACAGGCAGGGCACGGGCCCTGCTCTGAGCCCTTGCTGCGGGGCTCCCCGAGCAGGGTATAATGCTCCCAGTGGGCTGCCAACATTATCATCCAAGGCCTGAACTGGGTTTAGGTTCTGAGTCGGACCCCAACACTCAGGGGCCCTGGCGAGTGACATGCCCAGGTTACGCACTGGGGCACAGCACTGGGACCTTGGCACTTGACTGCAGCCAGGCTGGGGAATGGGCCTGGAGAAGCCTGAAGAATTCCCCACATGCACTGCTGGGCTCCTGCTCCTCTGCGCTGGGCACTCACCAGCGGGGGCACTGCCACTGCAGCAGGACAGTCCGGGCCCCAGCCCAGGCCAGCAGCAGGGCCTAAGGTACAAAGAGCCGGCATGGGGCCTCCCCAGAGTTCGGAGCAGTCACTGGTGAGTAATTGGGGTGTGATTATTTGTTTAATGCCTAGGTTCCCTTGGGCTCAAGGTTCCATGAGTCTGGACTGAGCCTATCTTGTCTCCTTAGAATGCCCAGCACCTAAACAGGACGCCAGGCACAGCAGGTGCTCCACAAACGCGTGTGGAAGAGCCAGTTGCAGGAGGAGGGGCGGGACCCACTTCCTGGCCCAGCAGCCCAGCCACAGCGCCTGTGTCCCAGCCAGCCTGCGTGCACCGGCTGTCTCACCTCTTCATCATGCCACAGGACGGTGGCACGCCAGGGCTGCCAGACGACGGGGTGACCTCCCGGTCATAGTAGTTCTGGTAGGGCACTGGAGCTGTGGACAGCAAGCCCTTGAGGCCCAGGGCAGCTGAGGGCAGGGCAGGCAAGACCTGTGCCCCCAACACCCAACCAGCCCCTCCCCAGAGACCCAGACTGAGGATCCACTTTCCTACTCTGGCCCTGGCCCATCCTGGTGGTTGTCGCGGTGCCTGTCTTACACCCCCAAGAGATCCCGTTGTGGGTACCAGAGCGAATGTTCTGCACTCATGACCAGACTGGGGGTGGGGCTGTGGGAGGTTCCCCACCTTTAACCTCCCATCCTCTTCTGAGGGCTATTACACTTAGCTCCACTGTGTTTTGCCTTGGGGGAGGCAGCAGTCCAGGGACCCAGATAGGTGTCCCTGTCCCTGACCCCTCCCTGGATCTGGCCAAGACTCCTCCACCCAGAAGGCAGCTGTGAGCTGCCGGAGCCCTGACCTGGCACTTGAGGCTCAGAGAACCTGGGGCCAGGCCTTCCAGGGCCAGGCAGGCCTGTACCCAGGCCACCCGCAGGCTGGGCCTCACCCGGGGGCTCTGTGCCCGTGCTCTTGGCCTGGATGAAGCTGTCAATGTCGGCGTCCACCCGGCAGCCTTCCAGCGTCAGCCGCACTTCCTCATAGAGCTGGGGGCAGGAGGGAGCAGAGGCTGGAGCCAGGCTGCACCTCCAGGCCCACCCCTGTCGAGGCCCTGCCCCTCTGGGTCTGAACTCCAGCCAGCAGTCCTCACCCCAGCAGCCTCCTCTCGGGGTTTTTGTGCACATCTCAGCACCTGCAATTTGGGGCCTGGGGTGTAACTGCCCCAGACCTGCCTGAGGGGTCAGAGCCTTGCTGACAGCTTCCTGTTTCCTGAACACCTTTTTTCCTTCTGTGCCAAGGTCCTGTGCAAGAGGCTTAACTCACACCTGTCCTCCAGGTAGACACCATTTTCCCCATTGTATAAATGAGGAGGCTCAGGAGAAAAAGACTTGCCCCAGGTCACAGAACAAGAGCACAGGGCAGTGGACTTTGGATCCAGAGCCCACACGCTTTCCACTGCCATGAGGAGGCCAGGAGTTGGGCTCAAGTCATTTGGGTAAAACCTAACGATGACAACAAAAATAAAATGCCCACAAGCCACGGGGCAGGAGGGGTCAGGGCTGCCCGAGGGAACTTGTGGCTCTGGGGCTGCATTAACAGAGGTCAGGGCCCCTGGCGGAGGGTGGCGGCCCCTCTCTGCTAGGCAGGTTGGGCTCAGTAGGGAGGAAACTAGGACACCCTGGAGAAGGGAGAGAGCAGAGGAGGGCCTGGGCTGAGGCTCCTGCCATCTCCAGGCCTGGGCAGGGCCAGCCAGGCTCTCTGGACCCCCAGCAAATCTCTGAGTCCACCTACCCTCCTTACCGGGGCAGAGGGAGCTGGTGCTCTGTGGCTTTGGAGTGGGGGTGGGGACATGCCAGGGTAACCACAAAAGCACAGTCTTCTGGGCAGAAGAGCTGTGGCCCTGTGCAGTACTGAGTAACCTGTCCTGGAGTGCTGGGAGCAGGGGCTGAGTGCTGAGGCCTTGAGACCCCACGGGCCAGGCTTGGACCACAGAGAACTAGGTGTCTGGCCCTGGGCATGCTGCTGCCTGGAGGCTGCCCTCTCCTCACCGCCCTCTCCACACCCTCATCCCCACCTCGTCGTCCTTGACGCACTGCATGGAGAGCTGGTTGCAGTGCACCCACAGGGCGTTGCGGAGAATGGTCAGCCGGTCAAACTCCTGCAGCTGGAAGGCCTGGGAGGTGGGAGTTAGCTGAGAAGTGAGGAGGGGCTGCAGAGCCAGGCCAGGCCGGGTCCCACTCCCAGCCCAGCTGGGCGGGCCAGCCTGGCCTGCTCTGCTGATGGCCACGCTAAAGGAGAGACCTCCCTGTGGGTCTCCACCCCCTTTGATGCCCAGCCATTGCCGCCCAGCCCGCTCCAGGCCCCAGCACTCACTGGGAGCGGCTGGGAGGCGGGGGAGTGAGAGGAGCGCAGGGCCCAGAGAAGCTGTAGGTTTGTCTGAGCCTCAGGTTTGGTTTCAGCAAAAAGGATTGAAGAAGGCCCAAAGCCAGGCAGGGGCGCACTGGGGCAGGACCCAGCCAGGGCCTGGCGAGTGGGCAGGCGGGCGGGTGGAGGGTGATACCCAGCCCCACTGCCTCGTCAGTCCCGTGAAGCAGCCATGGCGGGCATGGGCATCTCCCATCCTGCCCGTGGGGAAGCTGAGGCCCCACGCCCCGGTCACTCACCTCACAGGTGGTCCTGTGCTCCTGCTCCCACTCGCCCCGCACCTTCTCCAGCTGCTCGATGCTTTGCCTGTACACCCGCTCTGGAAGCACAGTGGCCTTGGGAGTGGCACGAGCTCCTCCACCCCTTTGCTCCTGAGGGGTCCCTCCCCTGCAGCCCCACCTCCCCCAGGGGACCTGCCCTGGCTGCTGGTGGGGCCTCATCTGAATGATTGTCAGGGCTACCCACTCTGTACTGCTCTTTTCAGGGTGCCTCTTAGTTCCCCCTCTGTGCCTTGAGCTGCCGAAGGGCTGGAGTGGCGCCTCATACTCGCAAGTTAAGCATCCAGGCCACTTGCCGTCTTTGCCTCGGCTGGGAAGTGGGCTAGAGAGGGTGGCCGTGCGCTGGATGGGGGTGGAGCCCAGCAGGCTTGGATCATGGCCCCTGTCCCCAGATCTCTGGGAGTCACATGTCCCCGAGCCCAGGGAGCAGCTGGTGGTGGGAGAGGCAGAGCAGAAGGGAGAGAGCTTCCCAGGGCAGGAGGGCGGCACTCTGTCCCAGGAGGGAGGGCAGCAGGCACAGGGTGCTGGGGGATTCCAGCACCAGGTGAAGGACAGGCCCAGAGAAGGCCGTGTGCACGCATTTGTGCACATGTGCCCAAGCGTGCGAGTGTGTGCCAGTGTGCATGTGTGTGTGTGTGTGAGAGAGAGAGGGAGAGACATGCGTGGGGTCTGTCTCCCATGAATGTGGCCTGGCAAGTCCTGGGCTCGAGCCAGATGGCCTGGGTTCAAACACAGACATCACCACCTACTGGCTGTGTAACCTTAGGCAAGTACTTAACCTTTTTGTGCCTCAGTTTCCTCATCTGTTAAAAAGAGGATAACAGCAGCCAAGAGGTATCATTGTTGTCAGGGTCAAACATGCAAAGTGCGACAGCAGTCTCAGCAGATGGGAGAACACAGATGTGTCCGATTGCACTCGTATGGAATGAGTGACATCTTGTGACTGTGTGTGGCCACGTGGGGGGGTGTCCCAGGGTGAGGGAGGCATGTGGTGGGGAGGGCCATCCAGGTCGCCACCGGTCTGGGGAGGCAGCTGGGGCCCACGTACCTGCCTCCGTGGCCGCATCCTTGCACTGCTTGGCTTTGTTCTGGCTCTGGCGAGACAGAGGTGCAGCAGCACTGACTCCCGCCCCTGGGAGCCACAGCACCCAGGGCTCTGTCACACCCCCCCCCCAGCCAGCCAGTGGGACACTTGGGGGCGACTGGGCGCACATCCCATCCTGTACTAGCAACCTCACCCTGCAAAGGACCGCAGGCTGGTTCCCATAAAACCCAGAAACCTCCAGCCCATGTAGGTACACATGAGAAGTAGACACCAGGCCCCAGAGTGGCGGAGTGTGGACCAGGGCCAGGCCTAACCCCTGTGGCCACTGCTGAACTTGGGCTCTGGCCCCTGACTGGCTCCCAACTCACCCTCACGTGCCCGCCCTCTCTGGGCCTCAGCTTTCCTGTCTATGCAGTGGGTGACATGTGTCTTGGGTCCTGGTAGCTCTGGGCCACTTGGGTTTGACCCCTTCTCTGCTGCTTCCTAGCTCTGAGACTCCGGGCAAGTCACTTACGTCTCAGGGCCTGTTTCTTCTCTGTGACATGGGCCTACTGAGTCCCTCCACACGGTTGTGTGAGGTTGGCGTCTGCTCTCATGGCCCTGGGCCACATGGGCCTGCTCTGAGGACTGGGTCCCCAGGTGGAGGCCGGAGATGGCCAAGGGGGTGAGGCTGCCCCTCTGTGCACGCCCTGACAGTCTGGGAGACCCGCTGCACGGACGGAGAAGCCGAGGTCAGCGAGGGGGAGCAGTCAGCGTGTCCAGGTGCAGACCACGCCTGGGGATGTCTACGGCACCCCTCTCCGGCCTCCCCTCCCACCCCAGCCCTGGGGACACCACGTGGCCCCGTGGTCCACGCACCTTCTCTGCCTGCTTCTGGTGGCCGCCGGCACTGACGCGCTCGAAGGCCTGCTCGGCGTCGTCGGCGTCCCGGCACTTCTGCTCGTAAGTCTTCTTGCACTGGGGTGGAGCCGTGACTTGGGGCTGCACAGCCCTTCCCTGTGGGCCCTGGAGTGAGGGCCCCAAGCCCAGCCTCCCCTTTCCCTGTCGGGGTCTGTGGGTGGGGGCGGCGCCCTCCCCAGGGAGAGGGTCTGGGGTCTGGAGTGCTGGAGAAGGGGTGGTGGCTGCGGGCAGCCTTGCTCCAGGCCCCTTCCCCTGCGGCCCCTGCCGCGCTGCCCTGGCCTTCTGGGGGTGCGGCCTTTGGCCACGCCACGCCCCTCCCTGCTGCCCAGTGCCCCACAGACGCGGCTGGAGGGCGCCTCTCCTCCCTCTGCCCGCAGTCCCCAGCTGACAGCGTGGGTTGGCCGTGGGCCACTGCGTGGGACTGTCCATATGCCCTTCAGTCAGGAGCCCCCAAGGACAGGACCTGGCCCTCCCACGCGGCTGTGGTGCCAGTGCAGGCCTGGCACGCCGCCGGCCAGCGCGTGTTGTGGACGGAGGTCTGAAGGGACCGCACTGCGGCTCCCGCTGCGCCTGGCCTGGGAGATGCCCCCAGACCCTTGCTCACCTCCATGGCCTTCTTGTAGAGTGACAGCTTGCTCTTCTGGATGCGGTCCATGACAGCCTCATACTGCAGGGGACACGAGGCTCTGAGCTGGGGGCTGCAGCCTCAGGACACTCCCCTAGGCCAAGAGGACGGGTGTCCCTGGGATGGGGCGCTGCACCCCTCCTGGCCCTGGGGGTGGTGACAGGATGCCCACCCTCTCCCGGAGCCTGTTCCTTCACAGTGGTCACTCTCAGAGCGAAGACTAAGGAGAGGCCCAGGGCGCGGGTGTCCTGACAGGTCCTCGATGCAGCTCCTGGCGGGAACTGTCCCCACACGCACGCACACGCCCTTCATCCTTCATGCACAAGCCTCCGCACCATCACAGCTGCCCACACACTGCGCGCACACTCGGACACATGCGTGCGTGCACACGTGAACACGCTGAGAAGCACATGTGCAGATTCCCGTGCAGACCCACAGATGCTGTCACCAGCACACGCGGTGCGTTCACCTGTGCACAGCTACAGGCCCGTCTGCACAGCCGACCACACCCCGTGTGCTCACAGCCACATGGGGCACAGTGGCCACCACACCCCACCTGCCAGGCATCTTGCTCAGACGGGGAGGATGGAACAGCCAGGATGGACTGGGCTGTCAGGTAGGAGGAGAACTAGGAAAGACATGCCTGGGCCTGGGGCTGGAGCCAGCTGTGCCTGGAGCCCCAGGAGCTCTGTGCCCGCCTGGGGCACACAGAGGCGCAGGCATGCACGCAAACACACGCGGGCTCGCGCTGGGCGAGGACACATGCTCACAGGCATGTGCACCTTGTGCCCGCGCTCTCCTGCGCCCACGTGCACAGCCCAGACAGGCTGGCGGCGCTCCCCCGCGGCGCTTGCCTGCGGCCTCCTAGGGGAGGAGTCGCTCTGTCTAAGGCAGCCGTGGGCGCTGCAGCGGCAATAGCGGGCCAGGGCCGCGCTGGGGCAGCAGGCACTCTGTGGCGGCTTCTAGCAGACAGGTCTCCCGTTTCAGCACCTCAAGGCTGGGCCGGCTTCTGGGGATGGCTTTTTTGTCTGCTCAGGAACCCAAATTTGGACTCTTGGAAGGCTGAGACCCCCGCTGGCCGCATGGGCACACAGGGTGTGCAGCTGCTACGTTTCTGCCACCAGAGCCACAGCCCTGAGTGTGAAGACTGAGGAGTGTCTGGCTCTGGGCTGGTCCCAAAGCTTGGGAGGTGGGCATAAGTGTCCCATTCTGCAAGAGGGAAACTGAGGCATAGAGCCGGAGAGTGGCGTGGCCAGGACACCCAGGTCCAGCCTGGCCTTCTTCCCCTCGGCAGCTCATCTTCAGTTCCTCGGACACTTACGATGCTTCTTCTCCTCAGGAAGAAGCATTCCTGTGTGCTGGCCTCTCCCGCCCTATTCAGAGCACCACCCTCGTCACTGAGCCTCTGGGAGGCCAAGCCCCTGTCCCCACGGGCCCACGCCCACCTGCCAGGCAGGCTGCATGCCGCCACCCTCCCAGGAACCAGGCACTCAGCCAGAGCCTCAGGCCCCCTCCTCCCCAGCCCTGCAGCCTCAAGTACCCTTCAGCCTCTGTTTGTGCACCCCCGTGACGGAGACCTTTCCACGCAGTGGCTGTCTAGGGACAGCTGCGCCCTGTGCCCACGGAGAGTGCCTTTGCCTGCTGAGCTGCGCCGGGCACTCCTGCCCGTGACACGCCCGCCCCAGCCGTGGGCAGTCCTGCAGTGGCCGGCCCAGTCTGCCTTTCTCCAGGACACAGCCCTGGCCCTTGGGCTCAGGACCAGTTTCCAGCGACCCCTCCCAACTCACATTGCCTCCTCTGGACCCCAAGCTGCCACAGACCCTCTGCAGGGTGTGGTGGTAGCACATCCCAAGCACCAGTGTCTTTCCTCTTCCCTGGCGAGGCAGCTCGAGGGAAGGACCCACAGCAGGGCTGTCAGGCTGAGCGCTGATGCCTGGTGCCGGTGGCCAGGCCTTTGCCATACTCCCCTTCCCCTTCAGATGACCCTCGAGCCCCCAAGCTTGGGGTGCTGTACCCCACATCCTCCCACCACCCTCCACCGGCTCTGCCAGGGGGCCCATCCCCAGCTCCACAGGGACCGGCGCGGGCTGGGCCAGGGACAGGAGCTGCGCAATCATGCCCTGCACCCGCCTCACCTTCTTCCTCTGCTCCTTCTGCCTCTCCCGGAACTCCTCCAGGCTGCGCAGCTCCTCCCGCAGGGTCAGGGCCAGCTGGATGTGTGAGCTGCCCACGTTCTCCATTTCTGGGGACAGAGTATGGACGTTGGTCCACAACGTCAGACCTGATGGTCCTTAGCCACCTACAACTCCCCCTGCCTGGACCAGCCCACACCCACACTTCTGTCCCCAAACCCTCTGCCAGCCTCGCAGCTCCTGTGCAAAGCTGGGTGCAGCCTGAGCTTTTCCTCCGGCCAGATCCCACCCAGATCTCGTCACCCTGCAGCTCAGGGTGGGGGACCTTCAGGACTTACGCTGCTTCAAGGAGTCAAAGGATGTCCTTAGGGAGCTGCAAAACATAACGGTCTGGGTCAGCAGGAGGAGGGCACAGCATGAACCTGAAGCCCTGGCTAGCCCCAGGGACTTTTTATTTTGGTGGGAAGACCATGGGTCATTCTAGACCGCCAGACAGTGGCCATCTGCTGGGCCCAAAACAAGGATCTCTGGAAGGCAAAGCTCCCGTTTTGGAATTACGAAGCAGTCCAACCTCTCCACTGTGGCAGAAGAGGGAGGTGTCATGCCCCCACCTCTGCTCCTGGCCGCATTCTCAGAGAAGAGGGCGCTGTCTTCAGGGCCCCCCTTCCTCCTCAGGTACCCAGCACCCCCAGGATGAGTCTGAAGCAGCAGGGAGCAGGGGCCAGACCTGGCTTTCAGCAGGTGGCCTGGAGGGCCTTTGGGGGAAGTTGGTTGAGAGGCAGGAAGGGCAGGCAGGGGTGCAGAGGTGAGAGCTGTGGGCGCTGTCTTCTCCAGGGGAGAGGGGAGGAAAGAGACTGACAAAGGCACGGGAGGTGGGGATGACACGGTAGGAGGCAGGGTTGCCAGGTTGCGCAAATAAAAATACAAGACACCCAGTTCAATTTCAATTTCAGATGGACAAATACCTTTGGATGTACGTATACCCCATGTAACATCCATTTGAACATACCTTCATTTTTAAAAATATTTATTGTTCATCTGAAATTAGAATTGAACTGGGCATTCTGTGGCCTGATTCAGTCCACTCTCTGCCACTCACTGTGTGACCTTAGGCAAGTTACTTTGCCTCTCTGTGCTCAGCTCCCCCTTCTGTAAAATGTGTCTGACAGCATAAACAAGACGGCTGTGAGGACTAAATGAGCCCACGCGTGCAAAGCGCCTCCGTCAGGACGCTGGTGCGAGGCGGGCGCCCACGAAGGCTGCTGCTGCTGTGCAGCCCTGCCCTGAACGCACCTGCGCGCCCGCCAGTCCGGGCGTGCCCAGGTCCCTGCAGCTTGGCCTGAGCTGTCCCCGCAGTGTGCTCCACCTAAAAGCTGGGGGTGTCCCCTCTGGTCAGGCAGCCTCGAGGGCTGGGCTCCTCGCCCACCCAGGGCGAGGGTCTCGGCACAGGGCGGCCTGAGAACGGCTGCGCTTGCACCCAGAAGCAAGGGGCAGGTGATGCTGCGGCAGACCACGCTCCGGTCAGCCGAGGCACGTGGGAAACTGAGACCAGAGTGCGGCCAGGCTCCCGGGGTCGGTGTCACACCTGTGGCCCTGTGCTCCGCCCCACGTGTGCGCAGAACCTGCAAGCAGTCCCCGGTCCCCCTGCTGGGTGGCCGCCTGGCCCTGCTGCACCCACGGCCTGCGAGAGGCAGCTTCCCAGGCCCTGGATGGACAGCCGGCCCCGCCTGAACGGGGAGTCTCAGGAGTGAGGCCAGAGCGGCAGCAGCGCCTGGCGCCTGCCCGCAGCGGGTTCCCAAGCTCCAGCCCAGCCTGGGGCGGCCGCGCCGGGGCGGGAGCTGCTGGCCGATTAGCGCGTGCAGACACGAGAACTGCTGTCCCAAGTCACTTCACCTTCACAACTCTGCAAGTGAAAGTATCTTATCCCCATTTTGCAGATGAACAAATGAGGGTTGGAGAGGTGAAGAATCTGCCCCATGGCCGCCCAGCTGGTAGGAGGTGGAGCCCGGTGAGATGAGGTCAGGACAAGCCTCTGCTGCCTTACAGAGGAAGGCGGGTGGCCGCGTTGCGACGCCCTCCCTGGGTGGGTGGCAGCTGTTCTCTGGCTCCTCCCCAGCGACTGCACCTCCAGTCCTCTGCTTCCATGGCTAGGGCCCCTCCAGGCCCAGTGTGGCCACTCCCCCTCCCCAGCCCTCACACACACCAGCCTCGGCCGCTCCCGCGGGACCACGTCCCACCCGCGCCTCCCCAGAGCTGGGTCTCAGCCCACAGGTGCCTCCAACACCGGACCCAGCCGGCCCCTCACACCGCTCCCCTGCAGGGCTCCCTCTCCCCAAAGACGCCACCGCCCCCTAGTTGTGCGTGCGGGAAACCAGGAGCCCTCCTAGGCTCTGTCCCTCTGCCACACCGCCACCTTCTATTCCCTCTCCTCCATCTCAGACCAGCCTCTCGCTGCCCCAGCCCTTCCCCTCGGTCACCCACACTCCCCAGGTCCTTCCACATGCTATGCCAGGTTCCTGCTAGCCTCAGGGCCTTTACACGTGCTAATCTCCATATGGCATCTTGGCCTGCCATCCTTTTTTGTCCCTTCTGAGCACTTGTCCCTGATGTCGCCGTGGGACCCATTGGATGTCTGTCACGCCACCGAACTGTGAGCTTGTGAGGACAAGGGCAACACCTGGTTCTCCTCCCTTTTGTCCCCAGTGTGATAGCCCAGAGCGACAAGCTCAACACTCCGTAAATACTGAGGCTTTCTCACCCCCAAGCCCACCTGTGCGCGCCCTCCTTGCCCGTGGACTCAGGCCCAGGGCGGCTGTAAGGACTCAGCCTCTGGCCCTTTCCGCAGCCCCTGCCTGGAAGCTGGCGCCTGCGTGAACCGACGGCACTGCCAGGTGGACATTCAGCCTCTGCCCCCAACCCTGGGACAGTCTTCACGGTGGCAGTCTGTGTTCACCTTGAACTGTCCCCACAAACCTGGCACAGTCTTGGGGGCTGCACAGACGCTGGTGCTGGCTCTGCCGGGACCGCTGGGCGGGGCCTCGGGCTCCGACCCCTCCAGGCCCCCTCGGCTCCCCTCTGGGCTGCGGCCTTGCTGCCCCAGCACCCTGTCCGCGGTGCTGGCACCTGCAGGCCAGCGCAGTGCTCCACTGCCGCACCCACGGCACGCCCTCCCCTTGGCCCCAAACTTTCAAGCAGGCAGCTCTGTGCCTCCAGCTCTGCCCTGGGCCTGAGGCACCCTGTGGGTGGGCAGAGACACTCGGGAGGCTCAGCCCGAGTTCTGTGCTCAAACACAACCCAGGCTTCCAGTATAAATGTCTCCTCCTTATACTCCCTGTCCCTGCTCAGCTGCCTGCAAGGAGGCTGTGCCTCCCAGCTGCCAGGAGAGGCCTCTCACCCCGGGCTGGGCCACTCGAACTGGTGTCAGGGGACACCTGGTAGGCCCAGGGCCCTGTCCCTCCCACAGACATCCTCAGTGACGTCTTCGTCTTCTCTGGGCTTGGAGGAAGGGAGATGATGAGAAGGAATCTCCGCTGACAGGAAAACCACAGCAGTTGAGGTCTGTGACAAGTGGGGTGAGGCAGGGACATGAGGGTTCGAGCCTGTGCCCCTCGGGGCTGTCCTTGCTCACCGCTAGCAACTGCAGACAGGCCCACCAGGGGCTGGCCCACCCGCCGCCTCCACGCCTCTTGGTTCTGGAACCCCTGGGGTGTAGCGCCCCTGCTGTGCAGGCAGCCTGGCGCAGGCCTTGAAGGCCAGGTTGGGCCTCAGGGAGACAGAGCCAGGCCGGGGCTCTCTGCAGGCTGGCTGTGTGACGTCAGCCCCAGCCAGCGCCTGCTCCTGTCTTTCCAATGCTGTGAAAGAGCCATGGGAGTCCCTGGAGTTTGGGGACCAGATCTCATGTGTGCCTCCTCCACTGTCCCCGCCCCGCAGATGCTTGCTAAGTTGCGCATGGAGGAGGTGCATGCAACATTCACTTTGGGACGAGAATAACCTCCCTTTAATCTGTGTGGGCTGAGCCTCCAGGTCTGAGCAAGGCTACTGGCTGAGTTGAGGTCAGGGGGCGACAGAAATGTGGCATCTTTAGGCAGCAGAGTCTGACCAGCTCCACCCTCTGGGTGCTCGCTGGCTATTTATGGGGTCACTTAAGCCCCACCCCAGCCTTTCCACCCCAGCCCACCGCCCACCCTGCAAGGGGCTGACAACAAGCATCCCAAAGACCTGGGGTAGCCATGGGTCACAGAGAGGCTGGGGGCTCTCCCCACCCAGAGGGGCCACCAGCTCTCCATGCTAGACAGCCAGGCCACCATTCCCAAGGACCATACACTTCCCACCAGCCTCTAAGAAGAAGAAAACGACACAGGCGCCATGACTACCTCTTGTGCTTCCTGCAAAGAACTCACCAGGTTGGTGTGGGAGGGGTGACCTGGTCAAAGCCAAGACTCTGACAGCAAGGCAAGATGGGAAGTCTGGGTGGGCTTCCTAGAGGAGGCGGGGCATGAGAGAGCCCTGAGGAGAAACTCTGATGTAAAGGACCGGGGAGGACTGGTGACTGAAGTCACCCTCCGTGTGATAGACTCTGGCTCCAGGATGGTGGGGCCCTTCATTATACTTTATTTTAATTCTTAAATCCACCCGACTCAGGCCAGAGCATGGCACACAGTAGGTGCTCAGTAAGTGCTTGCTGGCTCAATGAGTGGGCGATGGATGCTTGGCCGCCAGTTAAAGAAAGAAACAACCGAATGGCCTTGCCACATCTGCTGCTGGGTCAACAGCAGCACTTATTATGCACCCACTGTGTGCAGTAGACTGAGGTGGGCACTACATGGGTGATGGCAGGGATCCCAGGTGAGCTGGGATGGGTCTGACCCCTGCCCGGACTTACTGGCTCTGACATGCCCGCACTTGCTCTTCTCTGTGCCCACGCCAGTCCCCTGGCAGGAGCACCCTCCCTCCTCCGCGCCCCTGCCCAGCGCCCACGCTGCTCTGCCCTGCTCCTCCGCGCCCAGCCGTGGGTGAGCTCGTGCTGGTGCCGGTTTCTCCACCCCACCCCACCTCCTGCCCCCCGAACCTCTGTGGCTGGGCTGCCCAGCCCCGTGGACCTTGTTTCTCTATTTCCTGTTGCGGCTTCGAGGGCCTGGCACTCCCTGCCCGGCTCCGCTCGCGGCCCCAGCCTGGGGCTCTGCCTTTGGATCCAGGCCCCTCCACCCCAGGGACTCCCAGCCTCCGTCTCCCTGTGCAGTGTCCCCAAGGCCCTTGGCTTCGGGCCAGGAGGGGCTGGGTCCCAAAGGAAGTGGCCTAGGCTGCCCAGCCAGGGCCCTCAGCCGCAGCCAGGCCGGTGCCTCCCGTGTCTGACGCCTGGCGACCCACTGCTTCCTGAGCACCCCGTGGCTGTGCAGAGCAGCCCTCGGGATGAGTCGGGATGGCATTCACAGGCAGGGACCCAGGACTCAGAGGGGGAGGGCCCCTAGGGCCCGGCAGTAAGTCAGTCAGGCCTCCACAGCCTCCACCTGGCCACTTCCTGTTTCTAAAACTGGAGCCAGATGCAGCATCCCTCCCCCTTCCTGCAGCCCACCCAGCTCCGGCGCCTGCCGTTCTCTTTGTTGGTGGCTTCTCCTTCCTGCTGTCGGTCCCCTGAGACTCACAGCCCTGCATGTGCCTCACGCGGCCGCTCCCACCTGGCTCCTCGAGCCTGCCTGCACCCTGAGCTGCCGCGTCTTTCTGGACAGCTCTCCTTTCCCAGCAGGCCTGGAGGCCGCAGGCAGGCAGGGCTCCTCGGGGCCATATGCCCGGCCCGCGCGGCCCACGCCCTCCTGCTCGCGCACGCCCAGTGCCACTGCACGCCCCCACCCCCCCTTCCTCGCCACGTCCTGAGCCCCTCTGTGCCCAGCCTGCATCCAGCCCTCAGCCCTGCCCATGGGAGGCCCTCAGACCATGTTCTTGTTTCTCTGCACAGCAGCCCACTGGAGTGGGCAATGAGAAACACACTCAGAGAGGTGAAGCAACTTGCCCGCAGTCACACAGCGCACAAAGGTGGAGCCAGACCAGAGCTCACGAGTCCTTGCTCCCTGGGCTGTGTGCGTACTTTTTGATCTAAAACACACACCCTTTGGGCACTGGGCATTAATCTGTCCTGGCTGGCACCTCTAAGCCTCCTGCGGGCCCTTCCTGTGGCTCGTGTGTGTGTTTGGGCTCCTGGTGGGAAGCAGGGGATGCCAGGGAGCCCCGAGTCTTTAGGAGGCCTGGAGAGTGTGGCACAGCCACGTCCTCTCTCTGGGGCAGAGCCAAGGAGCCACAGGCCCGACCTCCAGGGGACCAGGTGGAGGGAAGCGGTTGCCACGGCAGCACAGGGGCAGGGCTCAGGTCCCAGGTAGCAGGAGGACTCCCTGAGCCCCGTCTGACCCTCAGTCTGGCTGGGTCCCCACTGGGGGCGAGTCTGCGCCCCCAAAGCAGCCCTGCCACTCCACTGTCACCAAGTTCTTCGGCTGCCCTGCCCCGCCTGCCCGGCCGTCCGCACAGAGGCCCCCCCGGGCCGGAGACCCCAGCTGCACTGTCGCAGCGATTTCCCTGCTGCCCCCTCTCTGAGCCAGGCCTGCGCCGAGTGCCTGGGCCCAGTCAGTCCTCTGAGGAAGGTGCCACCGTCCCATCGCTGACGAGGGAACGAGGCGCACAGTGTGTCCGTGGCTAGCCGGAGCCACAGCTGGTGGTCGAGGAGCTGGGACCGGGACCCAGGAGCGGCCCCTCCTGGCCCCGTGTCTGGCCACACCTCCACCCTGAGGCCCAGGCCGACCCGGCACTCCAGGGGCGCGGCAGCCACCGGAGGGGCCTGTCACCTGCCCCTCAGGACTTGGGTGAGGCCACCCACGCGGCCCTTGGCTTTTCTCTCCCAAACAGGGCCTGGCCCCACCAGAGTGCTCAGTAACTGGGCACCGGGGGTCCCAACGCCCCAGCCCGGTGGGCGTCCAGCCCCACCCTGGCCCTGACCCTGTCTGAGGCGGGAAGGAGGGCGCCAAGCCCAGGGCCCATCAACTCTCACTTGATCTCCGTGTGGCCGCCCGCCTTCCGCGCGATCTGCACCAGCTCCTTCCCGTACCGCTCCTCCGCCTGGGCCCTGCGGGAAGGACAGAGCGTGCCGGTCCCCTGTGGGCTGCGGTGTCCCGCCGCGGCTCCTTGGAAGCCTTAAGCCCAGCCCTTCCCGGAAATAAGTGTTGGCCAAATACGGCACATTTGAAAGGCCATCGAGTGATTTGCCCACTTGGGAGGCCCAGGTCTGGGGAACCAGGCGAGTAGCACTCCTGACTTCTTAGAGCAGGGGGCCCTGACAGCAGCTTGGCTGGCATGGCCGCCGGCCACTTCCTGGAGAGCCGAGAGGGTGGCCGCCCCCGCCTGTCCGGCCGCCAGCTCACCTCTGCCGCAGCAGCTCCTCTGTGTCCTTGCACATCTTCCTGCCGTCCAGCAGCCGCTGCAGCAGCACCTCGTAGCCTGTGTGGGCCGTGAAGTCCCTGCACTGTGACACAGGACAGACGGGCTCGTGAGGGCACGGCCGGGTGGCACCGAACGCAGCCCGGCAGCCCCCAAGCCCTCTGGAAGAGGCCTGCCTCCTGCCTCCGTCCTCTGCCTCCAGGCCAAGCCCTCGGATGCCAGCCTGGCCTTACACTGGCCACGCCGTGCCTGTGGCGGCACGCGAGTGGACGAAAGAGGGTCTGGGTGCGTGTCTGGGGCTCTGGTGCGGGAAGTTGGCAGGGGATAGTGTTCAAGGACTAAGAGGGGACAGAGGTCTCTCGGGACACCCCAGGCCCAGAGATCAGATCCCAGGCCAGGTGGCCTCGCTGGGGGGGAAGGCAGGGCTTGTCAGGCCGCTGCAGCCTGGGGCCAGCCCTGGGACTTGGCATCTGGTCTGTCTTCTTTTCTGTCCCCAGAGAACCCCTAAAACCTCAGAGACTGGGGAGAGGAGCCCAGCTCCCCTGGCCACCCACATGGCACCCAGCCCCCAAGCTCAGGGAGGCAGCGGGCGCTCAGGGCACACACTCTGCCTGTCCCCAGGGAGGCTGCGCTCCTGCCCTGCGCACCCCCTCGCATGCCACCGTGGGTGTGGGGAGCAGGGGTGGAGCCACAGTCAAGGAAGGCTTCCTGCGGGAAGAGGCATTGAGCACGTTCTAGAAAGAGATGTTGTTCGTCAAGGTTTAAGGAGAACCAGACGTGGGAGAGGACAGGGATGACAGACTGGCTGCGTGCTCCAGCCCCTGGGCAGACTCAGGGCTGCCCTACAGGACTTTCCATGGCCCGCCCCATAAGCATCCCTGGAAATTCCTGAGGAGGACCCAGCCCAGGTTCAGCTGCCCACAGGGTGACAAGCAGAGTGTCTGGGCCCTGGCTGGCCACACAGGGGCCCAGCAGGAGGCTGTCCAGGCTGGTGTCACTGGGCCAAGCTAGGCCAGACTTCCATTTCTGTGGCTTTCGTGGGCAGCCACTGGTCCATTCACCAGCCAGCAGACCACAGCTTCCTGCCCCTCAGCCTCTGCCCTCCGCCTGGCCCCCCATGTCAGAGCCTTGGCAGTCGGGAAGAAAAACAAATCTGCAGCCTCAGCCTCCCGCTCCTCCCCCTGAGGGTCGTTCTGAGCCGGACGCCATGTTCAGGTCAAAATGCTGCCAACCCCAGAACCTGGAACCAGTGCCCCTCCGTCCTCGGGAAAGTGGCCCAGAGAAGGGAAGGGCTTGCCTGAGGCCGCAGAGCCAGGGCGAGAGCCTGGACTCTCCGCGGAACTGTCCCTTCACAGTGCCTCCGGGAGAGGTGGCAGGGCGCAGAGCCCAGCCCACACCCGGCCCTGACTTGCCAGGGGAACCTTCTGTCCTCACTGAGTCCCCCGAGTGGAAAGAAGTAAAACCAAACCTACGCTGGCCATTCCGGAGGAGGCAGGAAGCACCGAGGGGCCTGCAGGCCAGGTCCCCAGGAGCTCAAGTCCTCAGAGCTGCAGGCTCAAGAATCCTGTCCAGCCCCTGCTCAGAGCCACAGAGGTGCTCAGGGGTGCGGCCAGCCGGCTGAGCCACAGTCACAAGGACCAGGCTGTTCTGAGGAAGTGTCTGACTCTCCAGGGGCTGCTCACCGGGGCTCCCCCCGCCTCCCCTCCTCCGCCTCAGCTCCTGGCTCAGCGCTGGGAGAGTCAGGGCTCAGGGCGCTGCTGAAACAAGCGAGCCCACCGTCTGTCAATCAGCCGGCCGTGCGCCCACCCAGCACCAGAGCCCCCCAGGGGCCACCTAGCCTCGGTGCCCCCTCCCCCTCACACACTCCTGTCCACCCGCAGCCCCTGTGGCCTGAGTCGCCGTGGGTTGGCCTCCGAGAGCCTCTGCCTGTCCAGCCCACCTGCACATGCCTCGCAGGGACCCCACGCAGTCGCCTTCCTGAACACGACAGACCACGGTGAGATGGCGGCGGGAAGCCGAGAGAGGAGACATGATTGCCCAAGCCCACTCAGCTGGTAAAGGGCAGAATTTGGGACCTGGGCCCAGGTCGGCCTGTCCCCAGAGCCGTGTACCCACTCCAGTCACACAGCAGTCAGCCCAGTAACCATCTTCCATTTTGAAATATCAAAATATGATTTAAACAAAATCTTGAAAGTATTTACTCAAATTTTTCCCACCTCAAATCAAAGCTGTACTTTGGGCTATAATTCAGTCCCCGTAGATTCACAGATGCCAGCCCTGTGCCTGGCTCAGAGAAGTGCCAGAGGCCACGGCCCAGCCGTGTGGCACCTGGGGTGACCCACCCTGCACTCGGGGTGCCAGGAGGCAATCAGGCACAGTCCCTTACTCTAGGAGGCCCACTCAAGCCAGATGTGGGCCCCCGGCCTTGTCACCCATGGTGTGCAGCCACGCTGGGCTCCAGGAGGCCGTGCTCGGGAAAGGCGAGGGCGGGAGGAAGCGTGCTCCTGGCCAGCCCCAAGGCAGCACAGCAGGGTCTGCACGCCCTGTCCTGGCCAGAGACAGCCCCAGTGTCCTTCCTCTGGGGGGTCTGGGCATGAGTCCTGCTCCAGGCCCACGAGCTGGCCGGGCCCACCGTTCGGTCGGTGGAGAAGCACCCTGTGCCTACTGCGGCTTCCTCCTTTCCTGCCCAGATCACTCTTGGTGGCTGCAGGGGCTGGGTCACTGAGACCAGACCCAGAACAAGCCACTTGCCTTCCTGGGACCTGGTTTCCTCATTGAGGAGGTGGGAGCGGGAGGTCCATCCGGGGCACGGCCCCGTCAGGGCAGGCTGCGGGCCAGAGGGCCTTCTGGCCTGAGATGAGGGAAGGAATTTGACAGACTCCATGTGGGTTCAGACCTGCCCTGACCCCAGCCCTTCGCAGCCTGTGTCCTTACCTGTGAAAATGGGCCTAACAGTTCTTGCTACATGGAGCTGATCTGAGAAGCGGTGCGATAGCATGCACAGGTGAGAACGGTGAACACAGACCGCCTGATGTCCCAGGCCCAGATCTCGGCTCTTCACCGCCCATTGCTTCACCTCTCTGCAAAGCCCCTGGCTCAGGGCCTGTCACCCAGTGGAAGTTCAAGTGGTAGCTCCCTGTGCCCTGCCCCCTCCCTGCCTGCCACCCCGCCCCCCCATAAGCCATCATTTCCCAGCTGGGAAAAATGAGCCATCGTTCCCCTCGAGAAGGTCCACTTAAAAGATAACAGAACCTTTTTCAAATGCTCCCTTACATGGAGCTCCAGGATATAAAGTATATCAGGGGACAGTTAAGCCTCTAACCTTAGGGAGAGAGGCCTGGGTTTTGGTCCCAGTTCCTGTCGGCCGTGTCTAAGAACCGGTACTGCAGTTTTACGTGGGAACCAAGTAGGTGCTGTGGCAGGTAGCCAGGTGGCCAGGAAGAGCTGCCTTGTAACTCCCCGTCAGTGAGAACGGCCCAGCGGGGCACGAGGAGCCCCAAGAGAAACTGTGTTGGGGGACTGTTGGGTGCAACTGGCTGGGCCAGAAGCAGCTGCCTGCAAGGGATGAGACAGCGGGGTACTCTGGGGGGACGGGGTGGCCAAGGAATCTGCCCAGATGCCCAGAAGAGAAAGATCCGACCTATGCACGCACCTGCCCCCCAGGGGCACCGTCACCAGTTATAATAACACCAAGGAAGTGAGACCTTTCTCCCCTTCAGAGTCGCTGCCCCGAAGCCCACCCCACCCACGGAGCCCCAGTGCAGCTGGCAGTGGGGTACGGGCGCAGCACTGCAAGGGGAGAGACCAGCTCTGTTCTTTCCCCATCAGAGGCTTGCCGTGCAAAACTGGGGGGGGGGTGCTTCAATTGAACGAGAGTGAAATTTTGACATTAGGTTGGAGTGGATTGGGTTATAGCTGATGACAACTGGAAAAGCTCTAGCCTGAGCCCAGGGAGGAGGAGTGAGATCCAGCAGAGGGTTTGGAAGGTAAAAGAAAGAAAAATTAAGTCTCTGCTTGCACCCTACCAAGTTCAAATTTCATTTTGTAAAAGTCTTGCCACCATTCTTGAAAATCTTTCTAATGATGTCTGACATGCTCTTGGGTTGACAGACTCTTCACTGTTTTTTAACCATTGTTCTTTCTTTTTTCTGGAGACAGGGTCTAACTCTGTTGCCCAGGCTGGAGTGCAGTGGCGTCATCACAGCTCCCTGCAGCCTCCAACTCCTGGGCTCAAGCGATCCTCTCACCTCAGTCTCCCAAAGTGCTGGGACTACAGGCATGTGCCACTGCACTTGACCTTTAACCTTTTTCAGAAGTCATCTTTTATTGGTGGGTGAAGAGATGGAATAGGGAAACTCGGTTCACTTCCCTAATTTCAGAAGCCCCGGGGACCCGCCAGCCCTTCTGGACAACCGTCTCGGAGCAGTAGGGCGCTGGGCCTGCTCGTACTTCTGCAGCCAGCGTGCTGCCACCATGAGTTTATTAGCAACTAGCGTCCTGTTGCTTGTCTCTGTGGGCTGAGAAACCAAACCACGGGGACTGTTAGGAAACCTCTCGGGAAAGCAAGCTTCCTGAGGGCAGAAGGTGGCTGCGACTGGTTCTCTGCCAGACCCCAGCGCCCAGGGCTGCGCAGCGCCGCCCACTGCCACCCTGGGTGAAGGGCTGGAGAAGCTCCTCCTGCCACCCTCGAGGGCACGTGGCTGAGTGGCTGCTGGGTCCTGAGTGCCCCTGGAGTGACCAGACCCTTGGCCTGCAGGTTCAGCAGCTCTTCACCCAGCGCCTTCCATAAGCCCAGCAGACTTGTCCCCTGTGCATCTTCCCACAGTCCTCTGAGGCAGGTAGTGTCCCCACTGCATAGATAAGGAAACAGGCTCAGGGACGACGAGTCCCTGGGAAGCAGCTAGGCACTGTGCACTGCCCCACAATGGGACCATCTCCACCGTCGGCTAGCAAATGGCCCAATGCTCAGGTGCGATTGCGTGGACGGCTGGCCAGAGACGCCAGGAACAGAGCGGTCGCTTGCCCGGTGCGTCCTGCAGGAGCGATGCATGAGGTCAGGGCCCCAAACCGAAGCCAGGGACGGAT